CCTGACTCCAAGATCTGATTCATCTTTATTGTAGCATCTTCAGCAGTCGACCATCCCTCGACAATCCTGCCAGCCCATAAATTTTGGTGATACCACACGACCCGAAGAAAACGTCTCCACCCAACCTCCTTAAATCATGATGGAAATAACCCCTTCCCTACTCAGAACCTAACGCAATCCTCACATCAACCAAACTGACCGAAAATCTACAAATTTGATCAACTCAAAACCTTCTTGGACAAAAACTGTCATGTTAATCTTGCACATAAGTGCACCATTGTGACGAAAACTAACTGGCCACATACTAAACTAGACCATGCTCCTACTCGGCTCCGACAACCATGCTTAAATATCTATTGTTAACACTCGGACTCACCCCCAATCTACTAACCAAAAACATCACTCAGGCTTACCCTCGATCCACTAACCAAAAACACCACTCGGGCTTACCCCTGATCCATTAACCAACATCAACACTCGAGCTTACCTCTGATCCACTAACCAACAATAGCACTCGGGCTTACCTCCGATCCACTAACCAACAACAACACTCAGGCTTACCCCTAATCCATTAACCAACATCAGCAATCGGGCTTACCCCCAATCCACTGACCAACAACATCACTCGCAGCCTAACAAGATGCACATCAATCCCAACAAGACTTCACTGACCCTATCAGGCCTTTGAGTCGCGACTCATACTTCCAAGCCCCAATTAGACAAGAACAAACAAGGAAGCCTTCATCACATCCCTCAACTTGGGCTCCTAACACCCTGGAGTCTAAAGAACTAACACACCCTACATACTTCTATCGCAACTAAAAACTAATACGACTCAAGGGAAATCCAACAACTGACGATAATCTTGATGTGAAACCGGAAGATTCAACAGTTGTACGAAAGTCTTGAACTTGGAGAAATTCGACTGGGAACTGAACCTTGGCATAAGGTCTTTCTGCTGCGAGATTCCACTCTCCCCCACTTGGAACTAGAATCTAAAAAATTCACAATCCTTTGATACCCAAACCAGCTCGAATTTTAGTACTCGATCCCAACCACTGGTATCCAGGTACAGGGGAGAATCTAATCCGACACAACATTCACAAATTCCAACACACATGCAACCAAGGACTATGATAATTAATCCATTCATAATAATAAATCAATTAAAAATAAAGCTAAATAAGATAATTCCATTCAATTTATCATCCAAGATTACAACTAAACTTCGAAACATAAACATAAATTACAGATGAATACCGACACTGTAGCAATCGACTAAACATAATAACTAATAACTCAAACCTCAGTATCCAACACTCCATACGTCCCACAATGACCGTCTGGTAACTGCCAAGCTAAGGGTGTAGGGTCCAATACCTCACAACAAAATGAGAAAGGGCCAACGAGCTCTAATGTGGCCTCCCGGCCGCAATGGAAGAAAACTCAAGTACCCCGCCTGCAATCCTTACCAAAATGACTCTCATCGCCATACCTGCGACATACAAATGATTGGCACCTTCCATCATGAAACTTCCCTCACCTTCCACACTCGGAACTCCTCCCCTTAGTTGATGTTGAACCCGAGTTGGCGGACTTGACCCGCTTGGCTACCGGCTAATACTGTTTTGAAGCTGTTCCTTCCTCCTTCTGCTGAATCTCCAACTCAATCTCCCTCTTCCTGGAGCTTGATTGCATCTCGGTCAAGGTCTGGTACTGTTGAGTATATACAAACTCTCGAATCTTCGTCTTAAGCATACTCAAGTATCATGACATTTGTGCATGCTTTAAAGCGGCATACGCTGAGCAGAAAAGAGCTCTCTCCATAAACATCCTAGTGATCTCCCTCACCGACTTTGTCATCTATTTGAGCGAAAGATACTCATGTGCCAACCGCTCTCGCTCCACAAGAGGAACATACTCAGTGCAAAACATATCCAAAAACTGCTCCCAAGTCATTGTGGCTCGCTCTGCCTGTGAAAAGCCCCGAGTCACAAACTCCCACCAATCCTTCGCACCCTAACGAAGAAGATTAAACACAAACTTCACCTTATGGTTCTCGGGACACAAACATGTAAAGAAACATCCCTCCACATCAGAAATCCACCTCAAAGCAATGATCGGGCCCGTGTCGCCTCTGAACTCTGGAGGCTTCGTGTCACTGAACTCCCGATACTGCATCCCCACGCCTCTCTAAGATCCTGCAATGGTGATAGCTGTTGTGGCTGCTACAACAACTACCTGCATGACAACGGCATAGCATCAGTCAAACTCCTTAATCAATGCGGTCTTGACCGACCCAAACAATACTGGAATCGCCTCGACTACTCTGGTAGCAATGATCCTCCGGACCTCCTACTCACTCAAACCTGTTCTCCCAGAGCCACTAACTCCTGATCTTGAACCTTCAATAGTCACCATACTGAAAATATACCATGGAAAGATCAGACATGATAACACAGTGCTCAACACACCATACCACACTCCTATTAGTTCCTTAGTAGCCTCGAGGTTTCACCTGAATCTCATATGGATCATGTGCTTTCAGTAGTACGGGATCATACTACCTTTCACACCTATCTGTAGTCGACTCAAAATTCATCTCAAGGTCTTATGTAACGTCCAAAAATTTATGAGTAAAAATTTCATTTAAAATAAGTTAAGACCATTCATTCGTTGCTCCAAAAGACGATCATAGTCAAAGTATTCTTAAAACATCAGAGTAATTCATAAACATCAGTGCGAAATAAATCTCCAGGTTATGCAGTGCGATCAAGTCGGACCCTTCATTTGAAAACAGAAGTACCTGAAACCATAAGCATAAAACCGTAAGCATAAATCTTAGTGGCTTCCCCAAAATACCACATACCAAACATATATAACAACTAGAAGCTAAACTGAGTCTATTGCACCACCTTCGATATCTTTCAACCGGTATTTAGGGGTGTTCGTTTGGATGGATCGGTTTGATCCGATCCAATCAAGTGAATCCAAATTGATTTCGGTTTTTCAAAACATGAATCCGAATAGTCCAATCTAAATTCAAATCCGATCTGATCCGATCCAATTACAATTCGGTTGGATCGGTTTTTTGTAATTCGATTTTCAAAAAACGAAACATTTTAAAACGATATATAATTATAATATTACTCAACTTTACACAAGAACCAAAAATAAATTATTTAGTTGAGTTTTGAAATTTATACACAACTACTACGAAGATATATTATAGTTAAATATTTTATAGATAGAAAACTTTTGAGAGAAAATGCATATTAATGTTTTTTTTTACCGGATGAAATGTTTTGCGCATATTTGAAAAAATAAATTACCAAATTAATAAATAACTATGGATATATATCATAAATAGATAAATAATAAATGTTTATTCAATTTTTTGGACTATTCGGTTCTTATTTTATAAACCAACACCAATCCGAAATCCAAAATAATAATTCGGTTTTGTTAAAAACAAATCCAAAAATCCGAATATTCGAACCAAATAGTCCAATCCAAATTGTCCAATTGGTAATTCGGTTTTATCCGAATAGTGAACAGTCCTACCGGTATTGGGTCTATTTCACCCCCTTCGGTATCTTTCAACTGATATTGGGTCTATTTCATCCCCTTCAGTATCTTTCGACCGTTATTGGGTCTATTTTACCCCCTTCAGTATCTTTCAACTGGTATCGGGTCTATTTCACTCTACAACTAAGCATATAATCATATCAGCAAGAATCACAAAGAAAACAAACACATATAAGCATATCAACAAGTGCCACAAAAGACAACTATCATCCTACAAACATAATCCAGTGGGTCGGAAATGGTGCCATCGAACCATGAGTATAGTGAAGAGACTTACCTGAACTGTTCAACAAAAGCCCAATAGCTACCTCAACAACAGAACATCCAACCCAAGCTTCCTAAAGCCAAATCGAAACCAATCCTTAGCCAAATGCTCACTTCTACTCAAGTTTGGCCAAAAGTCAAATTGATCAAAAAATCAACGGCCAAAGTCAAAGTTGCTAATCAATAGCCCTCCACGTCGTAGGCATAAAATGCCAAAACAGTTGCTGATCTCCCGGTCGCCATGTTGTGGCAGCCTAAGGCCACGCCATGAGGAATGATCTGAACAACTCAAATGGCTTAATCCATTTGCTTCCAATTCCAAGAGCTCCAAAGCTCAAATATAATCATTTCCAAGATCTTTCAAAAAGTGTCTCTAAACTCTACTATTATTATACAATGCCAAAAGTGGATATATTTTCAAATCAACTACCGATTCATGTCGGTTACGTTACTTTGTAATGATATTGGATATAAGTTATTAAAAAAAAACATATAGAAATAACAACAAACTTTTATTACGTTATAACCTTATAGTTATATTCCAATCAAATAAACACATCTTATTAAAATTCAAAAGTGACTAATTTACAGAAATAATCCTATATGATTAGGTCAAATTCACAATTTCAATCCAACTTTTAAAAAGTTGATATATTGAATCCCTATAGTTTATAAATCTTAAAGTCTTGGTCCCCATGGTCCAATGACTTTTTTACCCTATCCAATATTATTTTTTGGTTTTATCTTTCACTTATTTACAATTTTTACTAATATAAAACACCAACCCCACTAGCCTTCCGTTTCTTCTACTTCTCCAGCAAGACTGTCGTGTCCTTCCATTTCCCTTTCTTCTTCTACAAATAAAAACAAGTATCATCTATCATGTGTGTGTGTGTGCAAGTGAACGTCAAAGGCAAAGAAAAGAAGCTTAAAACATGCATACATGTTCGTATTCAGCTGCATCAAAACCAAGGAAAAAAAAAGTTAAAACACATAGTCGCCATCAGAAAAAAAAACAGCCAGCTTCTCTCTCCTCTCCTCGCCAATGTGAGAGAGAGAGAGAGAGAGAGAGAGAGAGAGAGAGAGAGAGAGAGAGAGATGGCTGTAGTCTTTTAAGAGATGTAGTCCCCACCACATCACATGCAAACATCTCCTAAACTAAACCTGTTTTAGCTCCAAAATCCATGACACACATTCGACAAGCAACTCAAACTTTTGGTGTATGCCAATGTTCAGGAAGACTTCCATCTTCTTCATGAAAACAGTGACTTCCTCTTTGAGACAAAAGGAGCCCGCACACCCACAATATTCTGCCAGGTGTGCAGCTTTGATTTGCTTGCATTTTAAACAGACCAAATCTTGAAGATGATAAAGTCTTTCTCTCTGGCGAACTATCTGAAGAAGAGCATTTTCCATGACTTCACGGTTGTAGGGTTGACCACACTGTGGGACCCCACATCTCCATTCTTGAGTTAGCAAGCCTCTGTCACGACATAAGTCTAGGTCTCTACAGTCGTTGCAGTAGCTGTAAATATTATATTTGTGGGCCCATGTCAGAAATATGATTAGAGTTTAGAAAATTTTGTATTTTTATTTTTACCTGCAAATGACATTTGGTAAAGTGAAGGAAAAGGAACAGTCTTGAAACTGTGCCTCTGGAGCAAACTCCCTTACACGTACATACTTCAACAGGTTCTTCCTCATGATCTGCATTTTATTTCAAAAACAAAAAAATCAAAATAGAAAAATCAAAAAACATAAAAAGAATTAGTTATTACCAGAATATCATGCTGCACATTTTGGTCAAGAACAAGAACAGCACAGACATGCTTAATAAACTCAAGTGCAGGATCTCCTTTATAAACATTGTCTTCATCTTCCTTAGATTTGCCTTTCCCTTTCGTGTGAAGAACAAGATCACGAACTATTTTCAATAGTTTATCCGTGAAGTAAGATCTAATCTGTAAGCAGAAATAACATGATTTCACAATTTAATCAAAACTAAATGTTTCTAAATAAATAATTGATCATAATTTTTAATTCCAACCTGGTCCCTAAGATGCTCAGTGACACATGACTCAAATGATTCAGCAGCTGCAGCTGTGATGGATGGAGTGCATGAGTCATCATCATTTCTTGAAGTTGCTCTTTTCATAGCTTCATCTTGTGTAAACTTCCATGGGAGGTGCATGAACTCAGTGACTATTAAAATGAAATGATCCTGTAGAATCTAACTGGTATCAGATGACAGTTATAGCAAATGGAAGGGGTAAAATTGTAAGTTTGATGCTTCATGTTGACACAGGTTATGTACCTGAGTCTCCTTGGGGAGGTTTTCTGCTATATTCCAGCTGGAGACTAACTCCACTTGAGGATCACTATTTTTCGCATCTAATTTAGCCTGAATTCCACCATAGTTATACTGTCATAAAAAAAGCATCAGAGGCAAACCTTGGTTAAAATAATAACTATAAACAGATATGAAAATAATAATATGAGATAAAGACATGATAAACAGTCTAAATAAATACGAATTAACTTACTTGATCCATGAAGAGAAATGAGTGCCAAAACTGCATAGGTTCAAGCTCAATCCACTCAAATAAGTCTCTAAAAACAAGAAACTTAGAAATTAGAGAAGATACAAATTACTCAAACCACTTACACTAAACTCAAATGAGTGCCTAACCTTGTTTGTAGAGCTTTGAGTAAACTATCACAGTAAGCTTGGGCTGCAGATAAGTCTGACTTTCCAGTGTCAAGTATGACTTTTGAGAAATTAGCAAAAATAATATTGGCGCCCAATTTTCTAAATTCATATAGCAGTAGTGCAAACACCTTTTGCATCACCTGTATGTATATTAAATATTAATTAACACCCTTGTCAAATATAGAATATTTTGTTTCAGACTAATTAGGTAAATAATTTAATTACCTTGTGAAGCATTCGATGAATAGCTGGATCATGGAGTTTTGACCTTGGACTAGGATTGTAAATCAAAAAATAAAGTCAAAATACAAAATACAAGCATTTAAAAAATAATAATAATAAAAAAGTACCTGCAGAGCCATCTGTATAAATGTTGCAACATTGCATCAGCAAATATATTTCCTGATGAAATCGCATCAGCAAGGCATCTTTGAATCAATTGTTTGAGGACACGAAATGCAGATGAACATGAAGTGGCCTCATCTAACCCTAAATGTTCATTGGGAAGATGTGATCCAGAGGTCAAATCATGGTCAAACCCAAATAAGGTACCTCCCTCCATTTCATTTATTTGGTTGCTTTTTAACAGAGCATTCACAGCCAGATGATGAATCTGTATCATTTACAAATATAAATTACAACATTTGAGTTTTGGTAATTTAGCTTTAAGAATGACATTTTTCAGAAAAGAAAATTGCATACCTTTAGCTCAACTGTGACTTTCCTATAAGCACCAGGGTAAGTCAGAACAGGTTGAACAACCTGTTTTTAGAAAATAAGTCAATTAGATCATTAAAAACCATAACAAAAAATTGGAACATCAAGTAAATCCAGTTAATAGTTTATGTAATTCTTGATACAGACCTCATCAGTGAAACAAGTTTCTTCTTCATAATCCCCTCCAAGATGTGGAATTCCATTATCCGACACCCAAAGTATCTGCATATGTTACAAAGAAAATGTAAGCACTAAGCAGGTTGTTATTACAGATAAAGAAATGGAAGTGAATTGCTATTATAGTAGATTGTCTAAATTGGTAATATATATTAGTAAACCAAAGACAACCTGTTGGTGATCACGTAAAGCTCTTGCAAAGAAGATATCTGCTGTGTGTATAAGCCAATCCAGTTCAAAGTTGCCTAATGGAATCTGTCGAAATTGAACAATCATATAAACTTATAAATGAGAAAAATGGAAATGAAAATTAGATATATTAATATAAATAATGTTACATGGGAATATCTGGAAAGAGAGATTCTTTCATTCAACCAGCGAGGTGATGCAGCACAACGTTGCATCCCAATTTTTGCAGCAAAAGATTGCCAGGAAAGAGTGGGATAGTGAGAATCGCGAGCATTACAAGGAATGGAAACACATGGAAAATCATCCAAAGCTCTTATACTCAACTTCATTAACTTAACATCTGGGCATTCAATCACACCAATTGCAGGTCCATGAACCTCATCTCTGTAAAAAAAAAAAAAAAAAAAAAAAAGTTAAAAGTTTATGTTAATCTTTATTTATGTTTAGTATAATTTTTATAATCTCAAAAGACGATGTAATACCTGAACTCACTTATTGTTTTCTGTAACAACTTTTCAGCGGCTTTGGGGCTTCCAACATATTCCACCTGAATTGGAATTGTTCCATATATTTTCACTTAAGAATAAAAATTACTTCAAGAAGAAAATAAAACAAATTTACATTTTTGTATATTAATAAAGTCAAACCACACCTTAAAGCTGGAAGCATCTCTAGACATGGAAGATTTAAGTGATAAAGCTTGGCAAGCTTCACGAAACTGTTTTTCTAAAATATATGGTGATAAATCTTTATTCTGGAAAGGGTTCACCAATACCACATGGATGGTTGAGGATGAAGGAAAATATACAAGATAAATTCCCTTTACTTCAGATATGCTGAAATTTTAAAAAGAAAATACAAATATTTTTTTTTAGTTTTTAGGCTTTTGTATAGTAACTGGAAGAAGAATGCAACTTACCTATGATATAAATAGAAGAAAGGAATAGATGATTCCAAGTATGAGCATTCTGTAGTGCTTTTCATATGCAATTCACTCAGATTCCAACCCTCTTTCACATTTCGTTTTTTAGCTGATTTATCCACTTTGCAAACACATCCAATTTGGAGAATTAAACTGAAATCCAGACCCATTTTTGTTTCGTATATTCCCTGAAAAAGTATATCCGATAGATTCAGATAAAAGAAACATTTTTTTATGAATCTCTTGGGAATAATAAACTGACCTCCACTTCAGGATCTGCTAGGTGAGCAGCAAGTTTCCTGCTTTCTGCCCTAAACTGATCTTCATCAACAATGATCTAAAAAATGTATTTATGATTTAGAATTTTGACTAGTAAACTAATTCTATAAATAAAAAAAACAGCCCCTAAATGTAATATCAATAGACCTACCTCAATAAGGTTATGAGAATGGTGTCCATGAGGGAGAATCTTGTTGACACGTCTTCCAGGAAAGTCTTCAGTTACAGGAGCTTTAGAATTAAGGTAAAATACTCTTGGAACTTTTATACCAATCTTATGCATCATTCCATCCACAACAACCCAACCAAAAAACTGCCCAAGTTCAGAACTTGGAACAAGTTGAATTATCTGGTAAAAAAGACATGAGTTGAGGGGTATAATGGGTAAACTTAAGTCAAAATGAATAAGAATAAAATATACATTACCTGCCAGTGGCTACGTGTAAGGGCTAGTTCGTGTCTTTCAAAGTACGAATTTACCCCTGTTCTACCCTGAGCTTGTCTTTTATCTGACACGCCACTACGGATCTCAGCAACTCCATTCCTTTGGGTATTTTTGTCCAAATTGTCTAACTTCTGTTTCTTTCTTTTTTCACGAACTTGTTTCCACTTTCTTTTTCTTTGATCAAGCCATCCTGGATAATCCAGATGTCTGTTTATATTATCCTCCATATCTGGATTCACGCTTTGACCATGGTCAACTTTTTCCTTGGAAGAACTTGTGTTACCATTAGTTTCATAAGAACAAACAATAGATCTAGGGGTATAATTGGAAGATTTTCTATTGCTTCCGAAATCTTCCACATCCACAACTTTATGTTCGTGTACATGATTTTTTCCATTTGCAGCATTTACTTTTTTAAAAGGTAATTTTGTTTGCCTCATTTTGTCATCTCTCTCAGAAATCTTCTTGTGCAACCATGCAGGATGAGCTACTCTTGGAACTGGATTTGAAACCTGAAATAAATTATTATATTCCACTGTGAATAGAAAACTATAAAAGTATTTTGCTATTGGTATCTATTTGTAGAGAATAAAAATCTAGAAAAAGGGATCATAAAAAACATTGCACCTTCTGCAATGCTGCAGGAATTGTAATGATTTTTTGAATAGCAAATCTGAGACGTTTTTTGTAATATTCCCAGTCAATAATGGATCGAATGCCAATATCTGATGAGATCTTGCACCATTTTTTCACATACAACTTCATAATTTCTGCAAACAAACATGTAATACTTGTTTGTAACTTTGTATCTTTTACAATTTTTTTCAGGTTTTATAACAACAAATGTCTAGAGTTTCACCTGGATCAGCTTCAAATATTGCAACAGGAACTGCTCGTTCACTCACGTCTTTCCCCTGTTTGATATTATATCATCAGTAGTAGATTTTTAAAGCAATATAATAATAAGAAAAGAAAATCAAACTTTACACATGCTAAAACCTCTAAACATTATTTATGAAATAAACTTTAACCATGAATACACAAATGAAGATACTTAAAGGTAAGTTTTTGAAAGATAAATTCCACAATTACCCTTGGTTCACATGCAACAACATATTGACAAAGAAGCCCTTTGTCTTTAACCATGGTATCACCAAGAAAATCAGCCAAACGTTTTGCTGTGGTTACAGCACATGATTTCTGCACTCCATAGTCTGCTAAAGACTTGCTCATTGTGCTCGATTCTGATATGTAATCAAGCAATTCACTATCTGCAATATCATTCCCTTGATTCTGAAAATATTTACGAATCAGTCACAATATCCAAAAAAACATATTCTTGTTTTCTTTTTTTGGTTAACAAACAAAAAAAATGCACAAAAGTAGATTAATGAAACACCAAAAGTGGTAAAAATGAAGTTTGGTTTACAATTTACATACATCAAGAAGATCAAGCCAACGATTTGCAACAGAAGCAACTGCTGAATAACATTCCTCTAAAGTTGACCCATGAAGAAATTTGTCAAATAGCTCAGCCTGAAAACAGATATACATCAGCATGTATAAGAAAAATACATAAAAGTATATGGTCAAAGATAATTGAAAAAAAAAATTAAGTCAAACAGGTTTGTTAGAGAAGGAGAGTATACTTGGAAAACTTTAATGAGCTTTAGTTCACCCCTTCTCTTTATCTCAAAACCTTTAAGCTCAGCAAGGGTACCATCGTCATTAAAAACAGCATACCTTTTTTTTATTGATTTATCCTCTTCTTTAGAAGCAGGAAGAATCATTGCCTACATTCACAATAAATATAATGATTAATAACTGATAACTGTCAAAATATGAGGTCATTTTTGGGATTTAACTAATCACCTTATATGGTCCATCCACTTCAAATTCAATTGAACATTCACTGTGTGTTGTGTATGTTCTGTTGATAGGATCTTTGAGAGTCTGATGAAAAAAATAGAAAAATAGATGTTTGTAGTTTGTACAATATATATTTCTAATAAGCTATACAAAATATAAAAAGAGGATTTATATTTTATCTAACCTGGTATTGGTCATTTGTGTTGTTTCTTGCCACGTCAACATTGAGCATAATACATGGATATGAGATTGTAAACTTCTTCTTTGAGTCTCTGTGATCAAATTGTCATAAAAGGGCATAACTGTCAACATCAAATCATAATGATCATTATTTTCCAAATGAATAACTAAGCAGAAAAAAAGAATACCTAAATTTGAAGGTAAAGTTTTCCGGAAATGACCCTGGCAAAGCACACCATATACCATCTGTGTCTAATTCTAGTGGTTTTCCAATTTTTTCAACAAGTTTATTGGCTTTTTTTATTATTTTTGCACCAGTGTATGTAACAACTCCAGCCATTTCCATTGAATACCATCTTGCACCTCTGTAACAATATCATTTTACTTTTATATTAAATAATAAAATACAAAATCCATATGTACAAGATGAAACTTAGTGTAAAAAAACATACTTGCGCATGACATATCCATAGAAGGAATTCAGAATACATTTATGAGCCAGCTGTAGTGAATCATAAAGAACCACCATATCTTGTGCTTCCTGAATCTTAATAGGATTTCCATTAGCTTTTGCTTCTGACAACTTCCCTTTCCATTCTTTATTAAGTCCTTTGTATTCATATCTTCTATCACGAAAACTATAAAGCACAAAAAAAACATGTTATAAAAACAAATACAGACAATTATATTATCAGTCTAATTTGCAAAATTGGTTAAATGCTTGCCTTCTGACAGTATCAACATAAAATGCATTTTCACGCATGCAAATCCCTGCTTTTCTTTTTTCAGTAACTGGCTTATCAAGCACTCGTTTATATGCCTGTAACATTACAATATGTTATTATAAATGCTGACATGTCAAAAAATCATATACCTTTTGGCAGTACTTCTTTAAACGATCTTTCAGCTTCAGTTGTTGATCCACTTTAGGTAGCTCAAGGAACGACGTTGATTTAAGGCCATCAACAGCAACAACCTCAGATTCAATTTGCCTCTTCAAGTGATAGTAATCACTAATACCCAAATTTAAAATCAATAAATAGCTGTTGGTAAATTATGTTAAAATAGAGGGGTAAATCCGTAAGTAGGGTACCTTCTCTTTGCTGTGTATGTCTCCCCACGCCACTTCCATTCAAGTTTCCTAAGACAAGTTTTCCCAGGGCGATTGAAATCACATGCAGTGCACACCTCATCTGTAACTATTGATGGTGGCTGACATGGCATATAAGTATTGTTAGGTAAAATATACATATGGCAATGTCCTTTATTTTTATCCATAAAAACAATCTAATATCATTATCTTACCCATAATAGGCTAATAGCAACATACTTCATGTTTTAAATTGCATATATTGGTGAAAAGAGGAAAGTATGTTGCTATTCTCTGCAACTTATCCATTATTTTAACTTCTAAAAGAACTCATTGATGTGTATACCTGAAGTCTGTTTGTTAATATAATGTTGGGATACATAGCAGCAACATCAAGATGATAAATAAGAGGACATTCTTCACGTGTAGGTTCATCTCGTAATGATGCAAGCTGCAGAAATAAATGTTTCATAGAGACTTTAATTAACCAATAAAATACAAGATTATCAATTAACTATTAACATTACCTTTTCTGTAATAGCATCCTTTACTTCATCGTAATTTGAGACTGTTTCAATGTCCATTTTACCCTCCACTTTAATAGCATATTGAAGATCCCGATCAAGGTTTTCGATAAGTTGCTGTGAAAAAAATATATAATTTAAACTTTTTAGTCATCAGCCCAAGTGATTAATAACTGTAAATATTAAAAAACCATAAATGAGTTGTAAATTACAGTGAAAGCAGATGAATCAAGTTTGAAAGAAGTTGGAAGGTCGGATCTAAAAACACCAGTTTCCAAACACTCCACATGGCCACCAATGTATGTCTCGCTCTCCAAAAGGCGCCCATTATGAAACTTTTCTGTTTCAGATTGGTGCTTGTTTGGACATACAACATTTGCCACATATGCCTGCATGCATGTACATTAACACCATAATTCATGTATAAAAAGAACATGATAAGGTGATATTCCCTGCAATTTACCCTTATATAATATGTCCAAACCACATACCTCGACCATGAGAAGCATTTCACAGAGGGTCCCACTTCCTTTACGCAATACTTCATCAGGAGGCATTGGTATTATAGTTGCAAGGGAGAAAATGAAGGGATGAACATAAGTCATATACAAGTAGTATGTTGACACAGCATCAGATACTGAATATGAAGCCATCATCTGAAATAAACCAAGTTTTTATTTTTCCGAAAATGGAACATATAAGAAATTGTTCTAGAAAACTTAAAATTTTAAATCTCCATAGAAAACAAAATAGCAGTTGTAACAAAGTAAATTACACAAATGGTCCCTATAATTTGGGGTAATTTGTGTGCTTGGTCCCTGACTTATTTTTTTAACTCGGAAGGTCCCTATGGTTTGTTTTTGTTACGCGTTTGATCCCTACTATTTATTTTTGTTACGCGTTTGGTCTCTGTCTTATCTAAAAAGACTATTATTTAAAGAGAAAAAAATGATGGGGCAGGTGAGGTAAGGTGAAGGGTGGGATTAGGGGTGTGTTTATTTAAATAAATTAAAAAAAAAAAAATGAAGGGCATAATAATCTTTTTAGGTAAGATAGGGACCAAGCGTGTAACAAAAACAAACAGTAGGGACCTTCCGAGTTTAAAAAATAAGTTAGGGACCAAACGTGCAAATTATCCTAAACCATAGGGACCATTCGTGTAATTTACTCTTGTAAAAAGGTATACCTGTGGTTTTTCCATTGCAAAACGAACCATATCTTCAGGATTTACCTCCAATGGATCATAGCCCAATTTGGCTTTAGTGACAGCCTGAAATCATAGTAGAGGAGAAATCCAGTTGTAAATTTGAACAATATTTGAATATTGAAATGAATGATAATAATAATAATTACCTTCAAACCATGGCTTCCTTGAGGTAGATAACTATCACGTTTGACCCATGCAAAACAATCCAGATGACATGCAAATTTAGCACGACATTCACCTTGCAATGTGTCACATTGAATCCCTAACTCCTGCAGCCCAAAAAAAATTGAGCAATAAATAATAATAACAATCATTATTCTAGTAAATTATAACGTACAAATTTAACATTGGCATACATCCTTCATTATCAAGCCATGATGAGCTGCCCTTCTTTCCATGAATGGCCAATCAAACATGTCACCATTGTATGTGACATAAATACCAGGTTTCACTTCTTTCATATGAGCAAACCATAATTTGATAAGTTCTTCCTGTAAAAAGATATTAAATTGTTGAATCAAAGCATGCATATTAGATACCATATAAATAAAATTTGAAGGGATATTAAGAAATCACACCTCATTCTTTACGTTTGTCACTTTGAAGTATCCTTCAAATTCAGCTTTTGGAGTATATTCCAAATCCTTTACATCTTCACCAACACACTGAAAATAATTGCAAAATAAACCAATTAAGACCAAATTAAACTAAGTCAAATTGCAATGATCATACTTATTTGAATTTAAAGATAATGATGCATTTAATGTATCTACCTCTCTGTTAATAATAAGATATCCTCGCCCATCAACCATGTATGAGATCATCATAACTGAATCATACTCAGCATCTGGAAACTTTAATGGAAGCTTTGTGGTCTCTATGTCAAATGCACAAACATGAACTTCAGCACGTTGCAGAAGATCATGCCTCCTTTCTAACTTAACTCCATCATTCGACACACTAACATCATACCACAATCCGCATCTTACATCTGAAAATTATGATTGGAGTAAAATAAAGTGAGAAATATACATTTTAATAAGTGAAATGATATACAAGAACTTTATTAAAAAAAAACAAATTATCACCTTTATCAATGGCAAAACGGACATGGTAAGGAACATCATACTCCCGTAGATCGGAAATACAATATACAAAATCTTGGATTTGCTCTTTTCTGTGAAGTCAAGAACAGAAATCAGGTTAAAGGTTTTGAAATTGCTACAAGCTCCTTTCTAAAGAAGTACTAATAAAACTTTCAAGATTCAATCAGGAAATGCATACTGTTTGCCTGCTATTATGGACTCATATGCCTCTGAAGCATTAAACTTTTCTTGATTTCTTTCAACCACATGCATCAGGTCACGCTTTACTTCCATCAATTGTTGTACATTGTCAAATGATATCTTTAAGTAAGTTTTCCTCAATCCAGAAAGATGGTTTTTCTGTAAGTAGCATCGAAGAAATCATTGGTATAGCTTTTGCAATATGATTATAGTTTGACATGGTAAACCTGATCATCTGTAAAGCATATATAATGGCTTACAAGATCAAGATCCTCTTTCTCCACTATTTGGATATCAGCAATTTTCCCTTCATATCTTCTTCTTAAATATGCATCAACATCCGTTTCCATCTTATCCTATAAGTTTAGAATAATCAAATGAAATGGTTTAACAACATGGCTGGCTTAGTGATCTACTATAATCATTTCCATATAGGCATACCTTCGTAGCAGCATAAAAATAAGGTCTGAACTTGTATTTGGCTTTAAAAGTCGAACCATCCTGTTATCAAAATCAAGTGGAGATTAGATATCACTTCGATGAGACAACGGTTAAAATCAATTATAGAAAAATCACCTGACAAACGAAATAAAGATCGACACAGCTATACACTTTGTGAGTGTATTGGTCCTCCCACGATGACTACAGAAAAATGAAATCGAGTCAATGAGTTCCAACCATGCTTCAATTCGAAAACAGGTTTCATGGAAACAGAACTGTATGAACTTACGGAAGCAAATGTGAGTAGCCAGCCGAGGCGTTTTTCTCCTTCAGTGAATAGATCAAAACCGAGCTTGGTCTCAAGCTTTTCTTCGGCTGAGAGAATAAGCTTCTGTTTCTTGGAAATCATTATGTCTTTGCGATCTACTCTTCTTCTTCGGTTATCGCCGACCATTTTTGGAAAAATGTAACAGAGATCTGGATTGATGACGCCGGGGATAGATGACAGGAACCCTTGGTAAAGGGTGATTTGGGCCGGGGGTTAGAAAATCCCGGGAGAATCGGAGAAGGGGATACGTATGTTTTCCCGCTATTTTGTCAATTACATTATGAAGTTGCATTTTTTAAATTTAAACTTGTAGCGTGTTATATACTTTTTAGATAAATTTACACAATGTGATTTATGGTTTCAATTTTTTTGTCATTATACACTATTTTTAATTTATTTTGTCTTTTTCTTAACTAACTAAAGAAAGAAAAACATAAGGGACCCCACCACCCCTCCCCTTTGCAACAGACCTCAGCATCTACTCTCTTCCCTATAAAAATACAAATTGAACCCTTATTTCTTTCTAAAGCTCATCATAAAACACCAAAGCAATCGATATGCATGCATTTGTTGGTGATAATGACATTAGAAGCAATCGGTTTACTTTCCGGTATGTATTTTCCATCTTTTCAATTACCTAAGCAATTCATCAATTATAATGACAATGTTCCACTATGTTCTATCTTTTTTTTTTCTTAAGTGACATTATACACTATTTTTTAAAAGCATATATCTCTTATGTACTATAAACTCATGAAAACCCAATAGCCAATGAAAAACTCATATTGTGAAGCATAAACCCAATAGTTAATGAAAAACTCATATTTAATAGACGAGTCACTTACTCACCATTTCATGTGATCTCTCCATAATAGAGGATGATTATGCAATGCTTTAATGTCGACTTAAACTCTTTAATTACATGTTGGGTGAAGATTACAATATCATTTTGGGCATTAAAGTTTTAACACGTGTGAGATTTAACAAATCAAGCAATATGTAAAAAGATGCAATCTTGGTGTATCAACCCATTATTGTTGTTCTTTGGTGTGAGCTTAGGTGTTATTCTAGTTGTATGGATATTTGTAGGATTGTAGCGAAGTATTTTCCATCTTTTCAATTACCTAAGCAATATGTAAAAAGATGCAATCGGTTTACTTTCCGGTATGTATTTTCCATCTTTTCAATTACCTAAGCAATTCATCAATTATAATGGCAATGTTCCACTATGTTCTATCTTTTTTTTTTTTCTTAAGTGACATTATACACTGTTTTTTAAAAGCATATATCTCTATGTACTATAAACTTATGAAAACCCAATAGCCAGTGAAAAACTCATATTGGAAAACATAAATTAAATCGGTCTTTTCTGACCGTGAATTTGTGGATGTCACAGAGCTCCCACTCCCTCTATTGATTGCCTTACGCATACAAATTATACCCAATCATGCATCCCATGCCTCCTAGACTACAAGCCATCACATATCAAACCAACGTATCACTGGCTAATCAGAACTATCATGCAAGTTTACAAGCTCATACAGTAAGCACATACAAGGCATCTCTCTAAGAATTCTATCATGCAAAAATTGAGCATATCCTTAGCCATATACGATTCACAAATTCATAAATCAAATCACACCAAATAACATGTATGGATATTTTGGGAGAAACTTACTTGAGCTCGGTTGATTGCATGCACCACACCATTTCTTGTATTAGAAAACTTGTTTTCCCTTATTAAATCAATTTTCTTTTGTTTTTGAAAAACTTACCAAATCCTCAATTTGAGTTCAGACACACCCGAGAGTTTGTCTGAATCCCTCAAACCAAGGCTCTGATACCAATTTGTAACGTCCCAAAAATAATGATATAAAATTTTCGTTTTTAGATTAATAAACCGTTAATACATATCATTTCCATAAAACCAAGTTAATCAATATTTATCAAGACACCATCAAATCATGGTAAATCACAGAGTACGAAACATGTGGTGTGTGTTTTGCAATCATCCCGAGCTTTTCCATTTGAAAATCGAAGTACCTAAAACATAAACCGAAAACCGTAAGCACAAAGCTAGTGAGTTCCCCAAGATACCTCATACCATACATATCTAAGCATATAACGGGCCCCACCCAATGAGTGATATGATCCCCGACCACACTCATATAACGGGTCCCACCCACTGAGATATGGGCCCCGCCCACACTCACATAATGGGCCTCACTTGGCATCGAGTCTCACCCGATAAGCATAAAAACAGATACTAATAACTAGCATATGATATACTCAGCAGGCCCTGCCTGGCATTGGGCCTTGCCCGGTAAGCATATCATCCATAACACATGCGAGAGTCACACAAACATCTAGCATCCTAACATATAAACTATGGCCGACATTGGTGCCTTCGACCCGTTAAACTCGGTGAGGAAACTCACCTCGCACTGCCGAATCATAAATAATCTTTGGTTGCTGGCTAACAGATCCCCAAACTATCAATATCAAAACAACACCCAATTAACACTTAGGTTCCAATCCATATCCATAAATCCATTATTGGGGTAAAAAGACCATTTTACCTCTAACCTAGCTTGGTCCAAGACTAAGGCCCAAACTCATAATCTAAAAGGCCCAAAATCCAATTAATCAACAAAGGCCAAATTATGGCCCAAATTTTCAAATTGGGCCCAAACCCCTTACATGGGCCTTACCTTAAAGCCCAAACATTTTTCCTAATCCTAAACACTTGTACTCAGATGCCCATTAAGAACGTAAACACCTAAGCCCAAAAGAAAGCCCAAACTTGAAGCCCAATATGCAGAATCCCATCTAACTAAGTACGCGGGGCGTATTCAGCTGTACGCTGTGCGTACAGGCTTGTACGCCCAACGTACTCATCCATCAAGCCAAAATCTTCATTAAGCTCTTAATGCTTAAGTCCAGAAGTCCAAACCACATATCTGAGTACTAACAAGTGTCTAGAACCATAAATTTTCTGACTTGGTGACTTTGTATGCCCCAAAAGAACTAAACTTCAAGATATGGCATTAAACTTCCACCAAATTGACACAATCTCATGCATGGGGGATTTTAAACCCTAAAGGAGACAACTTTATGAATCTAGAACCTCATAAACACCAAGTGTGGCAACTCATAGCTCCTGAAGTGGTATCAAACCACTAGATCTCATTCTTAGGGCCAAAAAGGAATCAAAACTCATATACAATAGATCCAAGCCATTAATGAATAGGTTCATAGCTTTTTACTTTAAAGAAGTTGGAAATGAAGTAGAGAACCAGGATCCACAAGCTCTTTCTTGATCCACAACCTTGCACCAAACTCCATATTCTTGAATAAGAGCCAAAACACACCAAGATGCACACAATGAGCTCAAAAACACCACAATGGAGGCTAAGGGACAATTTCTAAGGTTTTAGGGCTTTGAAGTTTGGTAAAGAGACCAATCCTTAAGACTTAAAGTGCCTATATATGGTACAACATCTTAATTTAGGGTTTTCATATACACCTTGTACGCCCCACGTACTCCTTATACACACAACGTATGAGGTCTCGCACCCCCAATCCACCCCTCGCAGTACGCTAAGCATATACTAGGGATGAGTTATAAAACTGGAAAACCAGTATCAGACCGGAACCGGAACCGGTTCATCCGAGAAATGCTTAAACGGTCCGGGTATTGGGTTTAAAAATTAGTATTATCCGGGTTCGGGTATTTCGGGTACGGGTGTAACGACCCAATTTTCATGTCCAGAAATTTCGTTTTTAACACTTTACTTAGAAAACACTAATAATTAAAACATTGTTTAATTAAACCATTTCACATCGAAAACCCAAATTTGAAATCCACAACATGTAAACAACCAAAACATCAGAGTATCAATCCCAGAATAAACTCATAAATGCGGAAACAAGAGTGTGTGTGATATGCTGCTACCACGACGACTCCTTTGCCTTAGCTGAAGAGGTACCTGAAACCAAAACTGAAAACTGTAAGCACGAAGCTTAGTGAGTTCCCCCACTGTACCACATACCATATAATCACATAACATACATAAATTGTCAGGCATATCTGGGTGCCCGACCTACCCCTTCGGTCCTCTCGATCGGATACTGCCTAGCATGTCTGGGTGTTGGCCTCCTCTTCGGTCCTCTCGACCGGATACTGCCTAGCATATTTGGGTGCTGGCCTACCCTTCGGTCCTCTCGACCGGATACTGCCTAGCATATCTGGGTGCTGGCCTCCCCTTCGGTCCTCTCGACCGGATACTGTCTAACATATCTAGGTGCTGACCTCCCCTTCGGTCCTCTCGACCGGATACTGGGGAAACTATTTCTCCCCCTACTACTACCACATAACATGTATCACAATATCAGAATCTATCTAACATGGCTGGGTATGACTACCCCTTTGGCCCTACCGATCGAATATCTTTGGGACTATCTCCCCCTACTGTCACTAGCACATAAATACAACACAGGTAGTAGTAATCCCTTAGATGAATATCACAGAGACAATCATCTACATACAACTCCTACTGGTGGGCCGACATTGTGGCCGTAGACCCGCCGCTACTGGAAGGTAACTCACCTCAAAGTAGCTGTTGATCTGATCGGAAACTGACTGTCTATTGCTGTTGCTGCTGCTGCGGACGCCCTCCGGCTATAATTCCCACAAAACAATCAGTCAAACACAACTAGATGTACATAGGGTAAAATGACCCTTTTACCCTTGACCAAGTCGAAATCCAAGTCAAAGTCAACTTCCAGTTGACTGGACTCGTTGAGTCCTTCCCTTACTAATCCGGTCCTACTCGCCAAGTCCCTCTCCCCACTCACTGAGTCACCCTTGACTCACCACTCGGGACTATGGGGCCGACTCGAGTACCGACTCGCCGAGTCCGCGAGCAACTCGCCAAGTTCCTCGAGCGGATCCCCTACTCACTTCCAATCCACACCAGAACACCCAATACGAGGGTTTGGGGTGTTGGGGACTTCGCTACACGGTTAATTCCGCGTGCGGTTACGAAGGGTTGACCCTTCAACGCTTAAACCCCTCTTGCTCTACGAAAGTTCATATGACTCGCCGAGTTTGAAGAACAACTCGGCGAGCTCCAGGCAATCTTCATAGGACTCACCGAGTTGTTCATCCAACTCGCCGAGTCTAAGACCATCTTCATAGAACTCGTCGAGTTCCACTTTGGGACTCGCCGAGTTCCTCGACCCATTTCCCAAGTAGGCTAGATCTGAGACATGCAATGCTTCAAAACCACAGATCTAAGGTCCTAGGGCATGTTTACCACGTAAAGTTGCAAACTTTACGTGCATGCACGACGCTAAGAGCTCAAACATGCAATTCCAAGCTCTTTAAGAGGTCCTACACTCAATAGGGATCTCATTCACCTCAACTACAGAGACTTTATGTTACTAGGATGTCCTAAAGGTCCAAATCCCAAGTCCTTGCAGAACATTAACCATAAACACATAGAGATTTAGGTTCTTAGGGCTTAAAACCTCTTTTTAGGGACAAAAAGGGGGTTCAATGAACTAAAGATCAAGGTAGGAACTTTTCTACCTGAATAGAATCCCTTCACAGAGTAGATTCCGGATCTTCTTCCCTTCTTGCACTCTTCAACCTTCACCTTCTTCTCCCAAGCTCCAAACCACCTTCACAATGCTAAAAATCATCCACAAGGACACAAAGGGGGCTAGGGTTTCGTTCTACAGATATTTGGGAGTGCTAGGGGAAATGGAGGTTGGGTTAGATCGTTTAAATAGGGTGCAAACACTCGGGTTAGGGTTTCAATCCAGACAGGGTCTACTCGCCGAGTCCCACGAGCCTACTCGCCGAGTAGACAGAGTTGATCCCGTGACTAGTCCTGCTCCTACTTGGCGAGTTAGCCCTTCAACTCGCCGAGTCCAAGATTAAAATGCAATATATAAGGAGAGTTAATAATCAAGAATACATACCATGAACCAGGTGCTACAACGGGTACGGGTATTCCGGGTTTTAGAACCGGATTCGTAAAAAAAACCGAAACCGGGTTTAATGAACCGGAACCAGTTTGATGGGTCAAGGAACCAGAACCGGGTTTACAACATTGTACATTTAGAATGGTCTTTTTTTTTTTTACTAAACTACCATTTCTCTGTTACTCGAAATCTCTTTGTATATATTTCTCAAAATCCACTGATGTTCTCTTTTTCTTTTCGCCGATACACACACTAAAAGCCTCATGTGTATGTATATTCCCCTGTGTCAAAAACACAGCCAAACACATAAAAGCCCCATTAACCCATAAATCTAACTTAACTTCCTTTTTTGTTTAGCTTTATCTCAATTAATAAATCAAATATCAAATATAAAGTTTTATATACTTTTATAGTTTTATGTGACTTTTTGAATTTAGAAAAAGAAAAGGAAAAACAATATATAATTTTTGGTGTTTGGATAATAAGTGGGAGCTAATGTTTTATTTATTAACTAACAAACTCAACAAAAATGAAGTTATATTGAATTTATGTCAAGGGACTTTTATGTGTTTAACTTGGGAATGGGAACAAGCAAAACTCACACATACATACATCCCTTGTGTGTGTATCGATGATGAAGTGAAAACAAACAGAGAGCATCGATAGAGTTTGAGAAAAATATACACAAATATTTCAAAGAGATATTGAAAAAGTTGTTTAGGAATACAATATGGTATTTTGCCAAATTTAACGATTTCAATTCCAAAATTTTAGGTTTCCGGTTCCATTTCCGGGTGTAATACACGAGTTTGGTTCCAATTTTCAATTTCAGGTTCCAACCGGTTCCATACCCATTTTACCCCGTATGATACCCGGAACCGAACCGGAACCGCTTCCCGTATACCGGTCCGGTTATCGGGTCTTATAATTTGCCAATTTTGGTTTCCGGGTTTTCCCGGCCTGGGTCCAACGGTCCGGGTTTGGACCCACTTTCATCCCTAGGCCATATACCACATTACACCTCACGTACTGCCCTTCATATCAGTACACCCCGCGCACTAGGGTTTCCTCTTAAACCCTAAAGCACTCTGAAGACCATAGCTTATTTGTTATAAATTCGATTCCGACAATCCTTATATCCATGAAAAGGTAACAAGATGCTCTACGCTTTAATCAGATCATACCAACCTTACAATTTCCCAAACAAACATCAAATTTCCATAAAAGTCCGAGCTGCCAAATTACCAAAATACCATTTGGCTCCAAAACACAAACTGAACACCCGAATCATCCAAATTACATCACCCACCTCCAAATGAGTCTAAATCTGAATTCTTCAAGGGTCATAAGTCTGCTAATACCCACTCCTTGATTACCACCTCGACATAGAAAACGATTCGAAACAGGGCGTTACACAATATTGATGTAAATATTGTACTTCTACTTATGTTTTGATATTGTTTGTAATATCCTTTTTATGTACTTAACGAAACTTGAATTGGGAAAAAATGTTTATCCGCAAAGATTTAAACTTAAACTTTGAACTTGATATAAAAACTTGATTTAAAACAATTTTAAAATCACCCTATGCGAGAGATGTTACAATTGGTATCAGAGAATTAGTTTAAGTAGACTAAATATTTAGTTTAGTGCTTCGAATTAAAACTTTAGTATTCAAGATGTATAGTTCTTAGATTTAAACTACAAGTGCTCTAAGTGGAATAATCTAAATAAGATGGGGAGTGGAATGTGATAGGAGACTTTGAGATAGGGACATCGATAGCCAACCCCGCCTTATCCCTGACATGTTTCCTTCCATACATTGAGGTTGTTATTTCCACATACATGACTTTAGATATGAGGGTGTGGATGATTAAGATCAAGTTTGATGAGTGGTGCCCCTTGTATGTTTTTTTTTTTTTTTTCCGATCTTATTGTTGACACACGTTTCATGTTGATATTGATATGTGTTTCCGCTGCTTACTTTGACTTGTTATTCCCTTGTTCCATTTTTTTTCATGTTTCCAGATTTATGTGTTTATATTTGATTAATTCATATCTTGTCTTACGACTTATCCCCTTGCTTTTGTGTCATTTATGGCTATTATGTGACACACTTGTTGTACCTCCAGCTGAGACACAAGTGTCAACATTTACATTCTTATCCTATTAAAATGGATTTATCATTTATAGAGTATATTGATGTTGTGATTTTTGTTGCATGATACATCACAATGAGAAAAAACAAGAACCGAGGAAACATACATAAATTATGGAAAAGACAAGAAACATGAAATAAAACCAAAACAAAACAAATGGCCCAATCCTTCGATGAGCCCATTCTCTATACTTTAAGCGAAGCCCAACAAGGGATATCACAATTCACAGAAGTTATAAAGAGGTTAGGGTTCCAACTGACCGAAGAACCCTAACGCCCACAAGGAAGCAAAGAGATACTCAGCGGCTGTAACAGATATTGCAGGTATTCTACTTAGCAATCTAGGGTTTGTTTGGTCTACCTCCATTAGGAAACATCTTACATTCAGAAGTTCTGGAAAACAAATTTCAGTGATTGCTCAAAGGTTTTAGTTTGCCGACGAACTCGTTGTTCGTTCTTTGCATACTATTATAATCGTATGTTTGATCGGGAAAAACCCGAGTCGTTTAGGCGTTTTAAGAGCCAGTTGTGATTATTGTAAATGGTCGTCTTTCGATGATGGAATCCGATTGTGACTGTATTTGTTATGTTTTTGGATGCAGAATGAAGGTTGTCGCAGCGTATTTGTTGGCTCTTTTGGGAGGTAACACTACCCCATCAGCTGAAGATTTGAAGAAAATTCTCGGTTCAGGTATGCCTTCCAGTATTTAAGCTCGTTAATTTTTCATCCTATGATTCGTTTCTCTTGTAATTTCGTTTCTTTGTATGAAACTTGCTACATTAGATGTGGGTTGTCGTGAAAACTACATAATACCAATTGATCTATATCATTAACTAGTTTTGTGAGCGATGAAGAACGATTTTTGCTACTTGCTAGTTAAATTTGTTAAAATTTTGATTTTTGATGTAATGTATGGCATTTGATAATGTGCAGTTGGAGCTGAAGCCGATGATGATAGAATCGAATTGCTCTTGTCCGAAGTCAAGGGTAAAGATATCACTGAATTGATTGCATCCGGAAGGGAAAAGTTGGCTTCAGTTCCATCCGGTGGTGGTGGTGTTGCTGTTGCTGCCGCCGCTGGTGGTGCTGCACCTGCTGCTGCAGCAGCTGCGGAACCAAAGAAAGAGGAGAAAGTTGAGGAGAAGGAGGAGTCTGATGATGTAAGCTTCTTTATTCTTTGTTTCTTTTGAAGTTGAGAGTTATTTCAATAATTATTATTTTCTTGACATGTTTGGTTGTATATTGTTTTTGCAGGAAATGGGATTCAGTTTATTTGATGACTAGAAGGGTGATGATACTTTTGTGTTCTTCTTGTTTTGATGCATCTAAGGTTTTATATTTTGTTATGAAGTTTTGGTATTTTTTAGCTTGAATTATGTGAGACAATTAAAAAGATCTTGGATGTAAAAGGATTAGTTGAAAGTTTTAAGATTTTTAATTGAAGTGGTTTGATTTGATACTTCTGGTTTATTTATGCTTGTTGTCTTAAATTTTAACATGTGGTGGGTTGTTTTGTTTATGCAAAATGATAGAAGATATGTATTGTTGTTAAGTATCTTAGAATCTTTATATCAAAGACGATGTTTATGACTATATCCACTTGAGAAATGCTATATATGCCACCAAATGTAGATATTCAATCATTCATTTCCAACAATTAGTACAAGAATCAAAGAAAAGGGTGCAAACTACTTGAAGCATGACCAAAAGTAATCATGAAACATGTATGAAAAACTCAAATTTTATCAAAACTTCACTAAATTGGGGAAAGCCTTATAAGTGTAGGATATAAAAACATATTAATATCATAAACACATCATAAAGGTAAACAATGTATATAAGTATGCATTATGCCATGCATGATATGGAAACCAAAATCAAACCTCGAGTAACCTATAACTAACCTTGATACACATCAATAAAACAATCAATTTCAAGTTTTCAACATTAACTTAGCGAATTAAAATTAAGATGTTAGCTTCAAAGATCAACATCGCAAAGAAACTCAAAAATAAGTATAAGAATGTAAAGAAATCAGTTTTAGTGATTAAAAAGAAAATCTTTAATATTATAATAGCTAGAAACATTTTCCAAATGCATGTCAAAATATCCCATATCTATATCAAAATGAAATGAATTAAATCTATCAAGCTTTCGGTTTAAAGAGTTCGGCCCATTGTTTGCCGATTTAAGCCCATTTTAAATTAACACAAATGGGCTACAGCTTCTACTCTTAAAAAATTCGATATTGCCTATTATAATTATAATATATAAATAAAAAGCTTTCGAAATTCTGGCGCTAAGAACGAACTCCATGTTTGCGTGTTTGAGAGAGAGATGAGAGAGGATAATCATGAAATTCAAACACCAAAGAAGGAACATCTACCACTTCCTTCCACTCGCAAGGCTAAACAGATGAATGCTGCATCGAAGAAGCTACATCATCAGCAGCAAAAGGTCGAACAATCTCAATTAATACAATTTCTCAATGTTCTTAATTACTAATTTGAATGTTTTGTGTATACGTCTGTTTTAATTTTTCGTAACAGAGCGTCAAGAAGAACTTGAGTTCTGTTTTAAATTCTGTTACTGAGGAGGATGTTGGCTTAAACCTTCCGGAGAAAGAGGCAACCGAGAAGTTCCCGTCGATCTCAGATTCGGTTGACGCTGATCAGTCTACTGTAGAGGTATATGGAATCCATTTCCTTTTAAAATCATTGTGCTTATTTGATTGTTTCATTTTCACTCGTTCTTCTCGTCATTTACTCTTATATTTATGCTCAGATCGGCAAACCGAGCTTAACTTCTGATCAAACGATTATTCCGGACAAATCCGTTGTGCTTGAACATCCAGAAGAGTCGGTTGAGATCGCTACAATCTCAGAGGCTTTCGTTTTTGGTAGAGATCGATCCAATGAGTCAATCGAGGTATATTGCCAATCCGCTTAAACCTGTTACGGTTGCTTCTATTTTTCGGATATGAGGTCTTATTCCTGCTTAGAAGTTAGAAGTTGCTATGGATTACAAAACAAGTTAAATCAACATTGGCTAGTGATTACCGTTTGTTATGCTCTATCATTTTGTTATACGATTTCAATTTGCACTAATTTAGATTTATTTTCAATGTTTCAGAGCTACATTGTGTCTTTGGATCATTTCGCTTCACCAACATCTGTAACTCCATTGCCATGCGATTCGCCTGCTCTGTCATCCATAACAACTGTTGAAACGACTCCATTTTCATCCTCCATAACTGCTGAAGCTTCTCCAGTTCATGTTTCTTCTGGTGATGGATCTACAACACAAGATCAAACCGATTCATTTAAACTAGAATTTCTGGTAAAGCATCTAAGGGAATCCATGTTCGAGGTTTTGCATTCAGCTGATATTGATCCACAGTATAAGAAGCTTCTGGATTCGTTGGTTAAGATGGTGATTGAAGAGTTCTTTAGCTTGCATGAAGAAAGGGACATGGTTATTCATCTGTTTTCAAGGAGAATAAAGATCACGATGCTGAGCTTTGTGCTGTGTATAATCGCTGTTTCTTCTGGATTTTTCCTTCTTTCCGATGGAAGCTCTTACAATGGCCCTTCACCAACCTAAAACTGTCATCGGTGATTTAAGCGTTTGCTGATCGGATATAAACTGTAAGATCCTAATAATTTTTACTTAGTTTTTTTTTTTTTTTATTATCTCTTTTGGTATCAGTTAGCAACCTGATTGTATGATTCTTCAAGAAAACCCCAAAACTCCATAAGTCATAAGGTAATACTTTGTCATGATCCAATACATAATACATATATAGAAATATAAAATGATTATGATATTATATTGCATCAGTCAGTTTTTGGTTATAAGCCTATGGTTTAACAGGAAGTAATGACAGAATGTTTTAGGGTTTCACCAAGAAGAATTTTTTATTAATTTCCAAGATGCATTGGAAGGCTACATTGTGAAGCTAAATTTTGACTTGTATCGCTAAATTCTAGAAAAACAAGATTGATTAAAAATTACTTAAAATGAAGATACTAAACATTCACATGAATTTTGGGAATCAAGGAAATCATGAGATTATATACAACCAATAATGCCAAGAATACACTTTGTTTCTAATTATTGATATCTTGGATCAAAGTAAAACCATTTTTTTGGCTAGTTTACCACAATAATTGATTGCCAAAAGAGACAAGTTTTTCAACAAACCACGAAATCATAAGCCTATTTTATGTTGTCAAGATATGAATTTATCTAAAATGAGGTTAGAAGTAACCCATTAAAATGGTTTTAAATATTTTTAATTTACAACTATAGTTTTTTTACTTATATTTTATTATTAGATGCAAAATTTTTATTGGTAGGTTCTTTTTATATGAAAATAGTTGTAGAACATCTATTACAAATAAATGATTTTTCCAAAATTTTAGCCGGTACTTTATGTTTTTCTGCAAACATAAATTATTTTGGAACCTTTTTATAAAATGAGTTAAAATATTAGGATTTTAGTGGAGATTTCCCCCAAGGAAAAAAGTGTATAAAATGGTCAAAGCTTGCTACTATATCTCTCAACAAATTAACTAATTCATAGCTAATGATATTATATGACTAAGAAAGCTATATTGAGTAGTTGGGAAGAAGTACAAGACATTCTTTTAACAACTGAAAATTGCATAATCATTGATTTCTTGATCTACAAGCCCAACACAACATGAAAACAATTTCTCAACATAGGATTCTCAAGAGTAATAATATAATGTCTTCCTAAAATACAACAAATGGACATACCACAAATACCAACACAGACATGATCCCTAAGAAATCAGTTGATTTTTTCTTTCAAAGTATTTTTTTTGTTAATCAAAAGATATCTATCTTGTCATAAATTACAAAACCATTGTTGAAAAGTAACTTCTTTCCTCACATGATGAGGCCACATCTACACAATCAATCACACCAATGTTCTTCAGTCATTGAAAATCTCGGCAACCTTAAACAAACAATCATATTACATTGTGTTATACGCAAGAAATAACACCTCATTTCACAAAAATATAAAAATATAAAAAAAACATTTACCTGATTTAAAAGTTGAATTTTTGGTCAAATGCCAGAGATCATGAGCTCCAACTTACTACAGTCATGACTCATGACTTTGGAACTGTGACATTTAAGATTTTTACATCTTGATATGGTTTATCCCCCTTATCTGTCTTCACTTTCTCAATTCCCTGAAAAACCCACGTTTTATGAATTTTCAGAAAAAAATTTATATACATCGAATATAGAATATAGAATATTCTCAATATTTTCAGTTATATACCTGAACAACATCCATGCCTTTTATAACTCTGCCAAAAACAGTATGCTTATTATCCAGCCAAGGTGTAGCCACAGTTGTGATAAAAAACTGGGACCCATTCGTATTGGGCCCCGCATTCGCCATTGACAATGTGAAAGGCCTATCATGTCTTAAACTGCAACACCAATAAATTGTTACATATCACATTATTTATTTCCATTCATTGTATTTTCATATAATAAGGTGTTATAGTAATAATGTCATGTGTTATAACACCTTTTGTGGAATTCATCTTCAAATTCTCTACCCCAAATGGATTGGCCACCTGTCCCATCTCCCAAAGGGTCTCCAGTTTGAATCATAAAACCTTTGATGACACGATGAAATATGAGATTATCATAGTATCCGTTTTTACAATGTGTTGTGAAATTCTCCACTGTTTTTGGACACTCTTCTGGGTATAACTTCATGTGAATATCACCAAGTGTTGTGTGCATAATCTGGTAAATATATTATATATAGATATATATCATCAAGGATATATTAATTATTATTTATTAAAATCAAATAAATCATTTTAAAAGCAAAAAGTAGAGTACTTACCACATTTTCTGGAAGAGATGTTGTAACAGACTTTCCAATATCAGATGCAGCCATAAGTTCATCAGGAGGAGGCTTTTCATTAAAGACATCCCTACCCTTGGTTGCATCATCAGGTTCCTCTGGTTCTCTTCGGCTATTTTTATTTTTATATAACATATGAACAATCATAAATATATGATTTTACTTTTACACAAAATAAAAAAAAAAAAAATAATATACCTGAACAAATAGATTCTGTGTTTCTTAAAAGCACAGCATAATAGAGTAGGATCTGTCATGGGATCTTTGCTTTCATTCACATTTACAGCAGCAGCAGGAATTTTTCGCACTTTTTTACTGCTTTGATCACCTTGATACAAAGCAATTCTTAAAAACCTGTCATTATTTTCCACCTTCCCTAAAATTCTGGAAACTTTGTTTGTGTGCAGATTTACAATCTATCACCAAATTATGAATAAAACATTAGAAGAAATACCTTAGGATATGTTGTTTTTTGAATTTATTGAACTTGAGAAAAACAAAATGTTAAATGCAATAACATAAATCTCTTACTTTAATACCAAGGAGGGTTGGATAAATAATGAAATTAGAGCTTTCATCAAACAGTGCATTTGGTTGTGGGACATTTTCTGTTTTTTCAATTTCTCTTTCAACTGCCATTCTTCTCCCAAAATCAATAGCTTCTAATCGATACAAAGGAACATCGCTCCTTTGAAGATCTTGAGCATTCTAAACAAACCAAAGTTAGGTTAAATCTTGAGAATAGTTAATGATATATATACATTTAAATGTCATGAAACTGAGGGCAAAAGAGTAAATTTACTTACCTCAAGTGATTCATCATAGACACGTCTTAGTTTACCTGTTCTATACCAAAATATACGTATTCTTCGATCTGGTGATGTGATTGCAAATTGTTTTCCATCTGGGCTTACCTAAAAGAAATAAAAAAATATTTAAATGTGTGTTAATAATTAACGATACATGAAATAAATCTTCTTGTAAAGGTGGTTGCTTTATAGAGATTACAAATATTATCCTAATTACAACAAAATCACTTTTCTAATGGCTATTACTCTCTACAAAACATTAGCTTGAATTTAAATAATTACCTCAATAGCAGAAACAGCAGTTTTACATTTGACAATAGCAAACAAATCAGTATCACTTTTCAACTTGAAATTAACCCTGAAGAATCCAACAAACAAGAAACATCAATATATGAAGCCAAACAACAAACAAAACAAGAAAATCATAAAGTATTCACAATTTCACACAATTACAAAACATACCCACTTTCAGGGAACTGAAGTGTAGCAGGATCCCAATATTCAATAATCCCCATGGTATCTCCAGATACCACAGTATCAAAAGCATGGTTGTATTTCATTACTTTAACAGGATTCAAATGTATCTGATTAACAAAAACAATAGTTTTCAGTGATAAATGGTCAACAGAATCGAAGAAAAAAAAGTCAACCTTACCTCTTTGGAAACAATGGGATCATTTGTTCCAGCTCGTGGATCATATATATGCACAAAAGAAGAGTTTCTATCACTAATAGCAAGTTTGGCTTTCACAGCTCCTTGTTTGTAAACCCATTCAACAGCTCCAGGTGTATATGGAAGGCGTAACATCACCATCATGTCATAGTTATGCACATCATATATTTTCACAGATCTATCACTTGAAATTGTGCAGCAAAGCAATCCGTCTACACTAACCTGACATAAAAAGTGGAATGACGAAAATGCCCTTGTGAGTGTTTAATTAGAGTGTGGAAGACTTACTGCAAGACCTTCGATAGGTCCAAGGTGGGATCTGAAATGCTTAGCGAATTCAATCCCAAGTCCTTTTTTCTTCCAAAATTTCAAGTGTCCTGAAAAGGGGAGAAGTAAATTACTACAAGATTCTCCCTACATGCTGTTATTCACATATAGTGATGTAGAAGTAAATTACCATCTTGACTTCCAGTGATGAAAAAATCAGCTGATGAAACAGCAACATGAGTTACCACATCCCGATGCATGTAACTTTTCTCATACCTGCATCCAGAAATGTTATTAATCCCCAAAAATTCAACAAAGAATGCAATATAACAAAGCATGAAATTACTACAATACTCCCTACATACTAAAATATGATCTTCTTTTACACCTAGGTTATCCTAATATTTTCCAAATTCAAAATTCATATGGATATTGTGGAAAATCCAACACCAATATAATTTTAGTGGCAATGCCTTTCAAATATAGTTATGAAGTTTTTTTCTTGCACGCCTTAGAATTCACATGACTTATGAGGTTAAGAAGTGGCTTCTTTGATCCCGAAAGTCAGCGTATCTAATTTCTCAGGGTATCAAGGGAGTATATTAAGTACTATAACTCAGGTATTATACAAGAAATTCAAAATCTCAAAGTATCAAAAACCCTAAACCCTAATCTTACATGTTAGCAGACGGAAGAGAATCGAGATAGGCTTGTTCAAACTGAAGCGGGCGTTTTGGGCGACGGACTGGAGCGGGTCCCGGTCCCACCATTGGCTCGTCATCCGCAGCGGTCTCCACCAAGGAGCTTCCATTGTCATCTTTGTTGTCATTCTGAGTATCCTCCATTGTTGTAGTGTTAGCGTAGCGTAGTTGAAATTTGCGAAGGTCAAAAAGACCTGCGACTGGTGTTACTGTAAAGTGTGCGCAGCGAAGGT